ATAAAATACTTAATAGTAAAACACATCTCTCGGGAACTATCAGAAATAATTCCAGTATTTTGTTGGATTCTGGTGATGATAGACTGAAACATACTGATCTGACAATTTGAATTGAACTTCATGTTAATTTCACTGAAATGACCCTATCCCACACGGTGTACAACCACCCATTCGGGTAATCATACATTCTTGCTTTTTCCATGTTGATTATGTCAACCACCATTAATTAATCAGTCAAATATAAGACAGTGCCAATAATATATATCAACTTGATATGAATTTTAACAACATATTTACACAGATTAGACTATATAATTTCTGCCCACTCATTGGTGATCATACACATTTTTAAAGCTACCATTTGTAGCAAGACAATGCTTGTCAATTATGACAAGCTTTTAATAACAGAAATGGATAGACTCGGGACAATGCTAATATATAGGCTTACTCAGCATTAACACGACATTCATGAGGAACCCCAGAGTCATAAAGTTTGTTTTTGGCTTCTTCTTCCGTATCAGTGGAATTTATTTTGTTTTGTTTTGTTTGGAGTACCCACTCTCTTTGTGGGTTACGTCAAGCAAATGGTGGCGGTGGGTTCAATTCTCGATCGGCGTGCGTTAACTAATAATTCCAATCGACCCAGTTTGATCAATGTCAAGAGGTTTGGCCAGGTGGTAGAAAGGAACCTTAACTGTGTGTCTAAGTTGTTATCCTTGTAGAAAATAGTTATTTCTTTCTTTCTTTTTTAAGAAAACAATAGTGCTAGCTTGGTTGAAATCGGTAGATCACGTGCAAATTTGACGAAATCGTAAACCTTGTGACTTTCCACAAAATATAATGTAGTATGATGAATTGAGCTTTCGTAGAAGAGACAATATGGACAATGGGGTAATACCACCCGTTCTCACTCTGCCATGAATAGGTTAGCGAACTATTAGATCCGGGTAGATTTCGGGAAATTGATTCACCACAATGTACAGACCTACAGAAGTACAGAGGACGGAAGAAATATTTCATATAAAATTGGAGAGTAATGGTAGTTATGTCTGGTGGTTTCAATTGGCTGTGCATCTCAACAGCTTCTCCCCAAATGATAGCCATGACGTGAGGTGGTGCAAGTAAAATATCGTGAAAAATGAGCTAGTTTCACGTTTGATTTTATTTTCCTTATCACTTTGCTAGCTGATAGAATTTTTCCAGCTACCGTAAAAAAACAATGCTTATATTGAAAAAAAAATGACAGTTTTTCTCCCAACCAGATATTACCGATATCATACCATTATTACTTAGATTTTTGTTCTTTGTGTATCACGCGTATTCTAGAGTTATATAACATATAAATTGAGAAGATAGGGATCTACTTTTGTTATTAAGAATTAGTAAGAAATAATTCAATTGATATGAATTGCAGAGAACGTATTATGAGTCAATAGGCAGAACAAGGACACTGTTAAGACAAGCAAATAATTTCCAAAAGTGATTTATAGGCTAATACCGAAGGAAAAAGAGAAGATCAACTGAAAACGAAGCTTAACAAACCAGATTACTCTAGCGCATTACAGCTTACTAAATTTATCCTCGTATTGTAATTTTATCAAAGGATCTGTGATTATCCAATTTAAAAAAGAGAGTTCCTCGACTTAAGCCAACCATGTTCCAAATAAATTGGCTAACGATAGAAATGTCATTGACAATATTGTAGGAGGATTGTTTTTGTACTGTTGAACACATAACAGGAAACTAAACCCACTGAGTAAAGGATTTAAAAGGTTACTGTCATTGTAGAATTGTAGAGCAGTAGATGCCTTAAGTCATCCAACTGAAGCCGCCATTGTTTTGCAGTCATATGCCATTCATATAAAGATGACATAGTCGGGGTTTTGAGTGTATGTCTCTCAAAAACAAATTTAAAGATCTATACCCTTTGATGCAACAGTGACAAGATTACATTACATCACATTACATGTACTTCTGTACACATTATACAAATTCTATTCTCATTTTAAAACATATAAAGCAATGTTTTACAAGTAAACTGGAATATCCCTATTAGATATCGGGGAAAAGAGGGGTTGGTCTTCTCCCTGAAGGATGGTAGACGGCAGGCCTTGGGTGGTACAGATGGTTCAGTTAGAACCTGAAATAGGAGCTATTTGATGGTGTCCATCGGTTGGATAGTTTTTTCTGTTAATCCGTGCAATGAGGTGTTTTGACTTCTTCTAAATATACGGGAGAGTCTCCGACAGTCTGCACAATTTCTTTTTTCAGTGTATCTAGAAAGATGGAAATAATAACTCGCCCGATAGGCTAGACCCCTTTTCCCAACCTGGGATGTTTTCATTCCCTGGGAGTGTGGGACTAGGGTGTCAGGGTTGTGGCCAACTGGTGTAGGAGATTAATGTATTTTGAATTGAGAGAGCACCTCACATCAACACATGCTGCAAATGTGGATGAAACAAATTTTTGGGGTTGTGAAAGGTACAGGTGATTGCTTCAGGGGTGTTAAATCTGAAAATGGAAACTTATTTGCTTGATCTGATCGTGACAACCAGGGCGCAAACCTGTATTATGGCAAGTGTTGGTCCTATTTGTCTTGATATATTTCGTGTATAAATACAGTAAGCTTGTCTACAGTATGTTCACAGCTGCTACCTTCCCCATTTTTGGAGTTTGTTTTGTGCTTCCCTCGCTCTGACAGTTTTGTAAAAACATTCGCGCATAATTGCATAAAATCAGAAAAGGCGTGAGTGAAATCATCTTCTCAGTGTCACGCTTGTCGTACCTTGACTGCAATAGCCAGATTGCTAGCCCTTGTTGTTTACAGACTTTTGGTCGAGACTGTATTTGCAAACGTACAATCCTACCAAATAGCTGCATATGCAAACTTCTGTGATACAAGGAAGGTGGCCATTGCAGTTAACGTAAAAGACACAGTGAGACATTGTGAAGATGGGTTGAAATGTGCTCTTGTACAAGAGTTTATGTGTAACAGTTTCTTGTAAGTCAAATTTATTGGTGTCTGCGGTGGTGTTCAAAACAATAGTACTTTTTACCATGGCAGTTAGGTCCTATCTGTCATAAAAAGGTTTGTATATAGATATATTATATAAATAAACGAATTTTCAGTCTTTTCACACTTCGCCATTGATCTCCATCTTTCATTATATATAGTGATAATGAGCGTACAATAATTAAGGGTCACTCTGGTGACTTCAAAAGGGTTATTACTTATGGTGAAAGGATTTGACTATAGAGAATGAAATGCATCCGATCTGGCAATGAACAGTACACAAGTTCTTTGTTCTGTATTGTTCCCATGACAGATCAGTGTGACAAAAACATATTTTAAACATTGCAAATTAGCAAGACAAATTTGCTGCTAATATGTAATATAACTAGTGAAGTAATCTCACAATAAATGCTGCGTTTTATTCTTTGATATATTTTCTCAGTTTTGATGCTGTAATTAGAAAAGGGAGCCGCGGTGGCTCGGTGAGTTAGACGCTTGCTCACTAACCTGAAGGTCCGTGGTTCAATCCCGTCCTAGGTCGAAATAATACCTTCGGATTTTTCAACCCGGTTTCCCCCTGTCAGTGATGCAGGTAAGAGGGGCTGACGTGGAAAAAGCGTCTAGTCGTTTGGACAATAAAACGAAGCCCCGTGTGCTACAGGCTGTACACGTTAAAGATCCTTTGACAGTTGGAAATCGAAAAAGGCAGGCTAATGCCACTACCCTGGCAAAATTTCCCTCATCGCACCCTGCATGGCGTTGCCCGTCTTCATTAGACATGGTGCAGAAAAGTAGGACGTAAAACTCCATTCATTTCATTTTGTAATTAGAAAACATGAATATCGTTTATCAATTTATATGAATAACAACGGATTAATTAAATCGGTAACTTTCAATTCGGGATTTTATTATTTTATAATCTTCTTCACTGAGTTGTGTCTCATTATGATCAACAAGAAATTATGATATCAATGAGCAAATGTCATGTCGTAATGTTTCATTTATTGAGATATAGCTCACTTTCAGTCTACATAAAACCTAATGTTCTGCTTCTTTCTCAACACATTTGGTTTTAATGGCGTTCTGACAAAAGTGTCAAGTGTAGACATTAAACTATACCTATCAATTATTTTTTCAAAAAAGTCTACAATTTCCCCCTTCATGATATTAAAATTACATATTGTTAATGACAGTACATGTATGAAAACAGATAGATAACATATGGTACATCATCATTGATGTATTCAAAACACCACTCTGATCTTACACGACAGATGGTAATTACCTGATCACAAGTAGTAATTATTCGTAAAAATGAAATGGTACTGAGTTTTATGTCCTTCATATTTGCACCTGTTTGACATACTTGAGGTGTATATGCTGAATATATCTAATGCTAGATGCTTTGTTTCCTGTACGAAATTCTTATTGAACCTAAGAATAGGCCGTAGACCTAAATCATCTTTCTTTGAAACTTTTTTTGATAAACTTATAACCAAAGTCAAATATCTAAACTATTATAATTATGCAATTTGAAAGACAATTAATAATTAATCGTTCTATTTTCTAGTTCCAATGTATATAGACCCTATCTTAGTACATATGTAATTTATGTTACTTAATGTTTAATACAATGCAAAAGATTTGTCTAATGCATTGCGGTTTACCGTAATTTGCGCAATTTATAACTTGTATAATTCAACATGTATGACCTATTTAAAAGTATAATTCTAGTAACAGTCGAAATGTTTTTTTATTCTTATTTTGTATTATAATATAGCAATTTAAATTATATTATTAACAGATCAATTAATTTATTATTACCATGCTGTAACTATTTGTTACCACCTTATAAGTTTAATTTATTCTATGTCTCATTGTGAGATTTTTCTTTGAATAAAGAGTATTATTATTTATAAAAAACAGTCACGTCTGAACAGATGTTGAGTTGTCAAACTAAATCACAGAGAGGCAACAGGTGTTAAAGATGGGTGTGCTTTTTCTGATTCACAAGCCAGGAAAGAAAGCGTAATTTTGTTGGCTCCACACTATTTCTATTTTGCTTCTTTTTACTTTCTTTTGATTATTTTTTTATTCCAATTTTTTTTTCGATATCATTTTAGATAAATTTTCATTTTGATCTAGATTTATTTTGGGGATATGAAATTTTTTTCAATGTGCTCATGTTGCGTAAAAATCAATCACAGGCATTTTTTAGATGTTCAAAATTTCCGAACTAACTCTGTGCGTGTTTGCGATTACCTACGTACTTGTTGCATACCTCAAGCCTATGAAACCCATTGGATTCATCTTAGTTGTGTGCGGAATTTAGACCACTATTTTTTTAAATCGCACTAATACGCAACTAGTGATCGCTACGGTGAGAGAGCAATTTTACACTAGGTGTGTCTGCAATCACATGTATGCTTGTTATGTACCGCAAACCTATGAAACCCATTGCTGCGTTCGGAAGTATGACCACTATTTCTTTTTCGCACCCATACCCAACTGGTGATCGCTATGTTGTGAGAGCCGCTTTAAGTTAACCGTGTTGAATGTGTGTATACCATTGTTGTACGTTTTCTATTTCAGAATGTCGTAGGTCTGATTGGAATATGGCAGAGAATAATTTACAAGATATGGGCTTTCACATAGGTAAGAAATTTGGACTTAATCGGACAATTGAAATATCCGAACTAAACTAAAGAGGCCCTCGCATCATAACGATCACTATGGTTGCGAATGAGAATAGTCATAACTTTCCAACGCAACTGAGTTGTGAGTTGCGTTCGGCACTCATGATCACCTCCATAATTTGCAACCATACATTGCAACTGGTATTCACTATGGTGTGAGGGCACCTTGAATTGTCAAGCAAGCAAGAATTTTCAACTGTTTCTTACGTTTGTGCGTGTAGGTCTTTTCATATCATCTCCTGTATTTAACCATTTAAGGCAATTGAAGGTAGCTGCTGGAAGCAACGGTTTTTTTCTTGCGTCGGTATGTTAAGGTAGACTTGGTCCACCAATCCATCAGAATATCATTTTGTCATCCGTTGCAAGCAGTATAAGATTAAGATAGTTGTAGACATTGATATTGTCTTGTATGAAGTTCTGGGTTTGATAGCTAGCTCTTCCTTAATATTCCACATTTCCGTCTTATATCGTTTCTTTTACATCTTACGAAATATTATTTTCAATAAAAAAGGCCATTAATCATCAATGTAAAATAATGAGAATATAACAAAAGTATATTAAAAAATATAACTAAGTGCAATTCATAATTGTCTGACAAATGATGAATGACAAAAAAATGATAAGGCCTTTTCTTCGATAGTCTACCTAACTCGACGTAGACTCAATTTACCATATAGCGGATATTTTGATGAAATCAATTTTAGGAATAATGTATTGATTTTTATGCATTTTAAACGGATCCATTTAATTTACAATCGTGATATGTTTGTGTGAAAACTGGAGAAAAAATTCGCATATAAACAAATAATAACATTCAGAAGAGAAATATTAGAATACATTTGGCATATAGGTAGGACTTTTTAAAGTGAAATGTCTGTTCTACTTTTTTCTCGTTTGTCTTTTGATTCAAAGCACTTTGTATCAATACGTTTGACTTTAAAAGTATACTGATTACGTTTTCTGGAATATACAGTTTCAACTCGGTATGTGTATATAAAAACACATACAATTGAGATGAAGTTCAAATTTGAGTGTATTTCACACTCGTGAGATAAAAATTCAGAATACTGATTTGTATTATTTGGCTGGTAAAACAGAATGTTTCATCTTTTATCCAGTTAAAGATGGGTTCCCTTTTTTAATTTATGAAAATGAAAATGCTAATACCTATATGAATAGAATGTAGAGGTGTTCTTATGACTTGGAAAAATACCAGTTTGTCTCACATATCAATAATTAATTAATAGGAACATGATGATATGATTAAGAATACATGATAATTCATTAGAAACACCAATTCATCAAGTAGTTTGCTTAATTTGACACTACAAAAAAAGGAACCCATCTTTAACTTAATTAATATTTGTCTTTAAAGGACCTGATCACAATTTAACATGGAAAGATATATTGTGTGTATCATAGTACATGTTAGTCAAATTGGAACATACATTGTAAACAATTAATTTGCAAGCTTACATATCACAAAATCAGTGGCTTGGTGTCTCGAATTGCTTGCTTATAGTAAGATTATATTAGTAAGATTTTTTTTTCATTTGTAGATGATTCACCATTACGTGACTTATTTGATAACGGCGCTGCTCAGTATCTTATTGATGGTGAGTCACCTTTGAAGTTTATGATATTATGGGGGAACTTGTCTTTTCCGTTATAAAGCCTATAATATTTTGATTCAAGATTGGTATTACTCTATAGTTGTGGAGAAAACGAACTCCACGAATCCCTTGCAAGGGTTGATTCAGACTTTGTTGAAAAATAAAATTCGCAGGGGTTACCTGTGAGTTTAAAGGTAGGCCTACCCCAAAGGGATTGACCATCAAATTTACTACAGATGAGAGTAATCTCAGAAATATCATTCATCTTTAATCAATGCTAAAAGTTAAAGTTCATGTTTAAATGCTGTAATGAGTCATAGCCCGTAGCACATGGATCCTCGGTTTGTGCACGTTACAGATCCTCGACATTAGGACATTAAAATAGAATATGGTAATACCACTGTCCTGGCAAAAATTTGCCTCATAGCACACTGAATGTTTTTGCCCGTCTTCAGTTATGGACGTTCTACTCTCCTTTCATTTCATTTTATTTTAGACTTTAGCTCATAGCGACATTTTATTTTTATTTTTTACTTCTATATTCTCATAAGGCCAGGAGCTGATAGGTAAATAAGTGACAAAAAAAAATAACATTTAAGATGTGTTCGAAATTGTCTTTTATTTTTTAAGCGAAAATTCTTTTATCAAGAATTAATAATATGAAACAATACCATCGAAGTAGTTGAATATTGTTTGTTAGTACATGAAATATCCTTGAACTACATTATATTTACCTGAATACAACACCTTCCATAACAACAGATACACTAACCTTTTACCGCTAATAGGAGCGAATGATAATGATAAACCATGATACAGACTGCAAAAGTCACTAATTGATACAGATCATATTTTGTGATTGAAATAATAAAATAAGTAGGAGACCAGCCTGTAGGATCCCTAACCAAATTCGGGGAACAAAGGTTGGAATGTGTTTTTGAGTTCCCAGGGGAGTACCAAAAATTTTTGTTACTGTACTGCCAAAAAAACTGTACTGCCAAAAAATTCTATTTAAAATCGAAGCTGCCAAAGGCGTATATTACCTTGCCAGGCATGCTACCTTAATAAATTTTATAATTGCTTCTAGTTTAAAAAACTAAAACAATTGAAACAATTGTAAATAAGTCTGTTGTTTTTTTAAAAAAGAGATGATGGCGCAAACGTATGTTGAGTGTCTTACCTAATAAAATGCCAGGCCGATATTACGATAGACAGACTTTTCATTCAATTATGGTCAAGAATTTACTTATCCATTACCAGAACAAGGACAAAGATAATACTTAAACTTTGATATTTTTTGTTGTATAAGGCTACATTTGTGTTGAACAGACTACTTTAGTTTATTTTAGTTTAGTTTTTAACACAAAAAGATAATAAATGAATTATTAATGCTATATTGAAAGAATTTCGACACACAGGAAGGTTGTATCAGAAGAAATAATAACATAAAAAATCTCATTCATTCAACATATTGCAAGAATTTAATGAATGGTTATGTGACATTTTGGGGCATAATAACATTTCTGTATTCATGAGATTACGAATTTTGAATGAACAAGTTTCTTTCATAATATAACCCTTGGATGAATCTATTTCAATACGAATTTGCTGTCATCCTGACTTACCCGGCATACAGTAATGCATTAATGACAACTAAAACACAGTATTTATCAATTCGGCGCATAAGTTAATTTAAACATTCGTTCCGTATATTTTTCGTTGATATATCTCGAGTAGTCCGTTTCATTTGCGACATTTTATGATGAGCTATACACATCATAAATCACGACAGAAAAAGAGAATAACATTGGGAAATCAAGTCTGCTTGGTAGTCCTTGCCAAAAACTTTCCTCACACATTTACCTTTGGGTCACCTGGTCACAGCCCCGTCGTTAGAGTGGGGTCCATGGGGGCTTGGCTCCAGCAAGTGAGAATTAAGCCCCAGCAAAACCTTCTTCAGTTTTGCAGGGTTCGATTCATTTACAGTGTCTTTGTACCAAAGGACAAATTTTGATACGTTTTTTTGGCACCTCAAAATAGATAGAAATGAGTTCTGAGCCTAAAAATTCTTCAAATTTAGTGAGTACAAAATCTGTGCACCAATTCATTCCTGGCGACGTGGTTGCCTGGTCATGGATGGCCAAAACCACAATACAGTGGAGGGTAAGGCTTAACTTTGTGTGGACATTGTAGCTTATGGCTCATTTATGGTTCAGGGTTGTATCAATACCGAAATTTATGCGAAATTTGGATTTTAATTTGGTGACAATTATCAAAAATTAGTGCCCCCAAAGTGTGCCGGAGAAACATTTTCTGTCTGGCCAACATAAAAAATAAAGATTCTGATGAACTGTGCCCGTACTCAATGTGTCTGAAGCTTCGTATACTCTGGGAATGTGAGAAGTGTATGATTAATTTCTCAATGTTAAACTAAAAGTCATAAGAAATTATAACTTATTGTACTGAATTCCTTGAAGACATGATAATATGACATTATGAAATATCATGAAACACGTGATGTTAGCTTCATCATGTTATTCTAATGCAGGGGTTTTCGACCTTTTTCTTTTCTAATAATCCTTTCAGGATCCGAATCAATTACATTACCCATCTTCTCCCTATAAATCCTTACCACTTTGTGATTTTCTCTTAGGTTTTCCCTGAATATAGCCTGACTGAATAGAACGACTAGAGAACGATAAAGAGTAGGAAATAAAAATTATATGCCGCCCTCCTGGAAACGTTTATCTCATTGCAAAGTGCATGGTGTTGCCCGTCTTAAAGTTCAGAAGTTAGTGTGCAAGGCAAGGTAGCATACGCCCACTACCAGCTGTCAGAAATGATAACAAAGTCTGTAGTGGCTTAATAATGAGTTTTCAAATAATGTTAAAAATACTTTTAACTCACGGTAAAACCTCAAAAACAGTTCATAAAATTATCATCAAATTCAAACATGAAAAAAGGTCTCATCGACGGGCAATAAGTCTAAAACCGTTCAGCTGATTTTTACCTGTAAACATTGTAGCCTCTATCATGCCGACAAGCCAAATTTGACGCGTTTTTACTAAGTCCAGGTCAATAACTCCATTCATCCAAATTCGAGCTTGACGGAGATCTCATCAATAAAGATATACATACCAAGTTTCATCGAGATCGGATAAAAAGGAACCGTAGCCTTTATTGCGCCTTAATGCCAAATTTGATTGATTGTTTCCAAATTCGAATATGACCGAGATCTCATTAATATATGCATGCATACCGAGTTTTACAAGATCGTATAAAAACAGTAGTCACTATCGTGCCTACAAGAAATGAACCGACGGACAGGAGCGACGGCAATATACGTTCACATTTCTATGTGCGCCTATAAAATGTTGGAAGTAAAAATTCACACTATTTTCTTTTCTCGCAAATTTATCACACAAAAACTTGAGGAAGGAATTATTAAAATTAGATTCTTTTCACAGAAGCTATCAGAGAAGACATATTTTCTACACGTATTTCACTTAATATTTTACGCTATATACACAACATAACTAAATCTTTTTTGGACAAATTTCGTTATCACCCACGCTTGTTATTGGAGGTTATTTGTAGAGATTATGTGATAAAGAAGACTAGCTATAGAAATAATAAATCAGTGTCGTAAATGTGTGAGTTGTCAGATAATTTCAGCTGGCAACTAAGTTAGGTATAAACATCAACTGTAATGTCAATTTAATAATGAAAGCTAGTTACGTCAAAGGATACAAAATACTAAAATGTAAACAGTTCAAATTTAATTTTGATTAAAATTAAGATTTTCTTCTAATTATAAGTCGCCATGTTGATTTCAGCGTTTGTATTGAGAGTTTAAATCTTGACTCATGGAAGAACAAGTCAAATTCAGATTGTCCTCGAGTCTGACAATTTTACTAAATTAATTCCTAAATTCGATTTCAACTTGTACCCTTTTAAACGCTTGGCTTTACAAGGAATACCAAACCCAGTATGGTAACAGACCTCAATACCACGATAAACAGTTTTTGGATTATTGTGCCTATGCCATTTAGACTTCACCGATCTTTCATCATACATTGCTTGTAACGTTGCCTGTTTATTGTCTTCGCTTTTCATCCCTAGAGCTAGATTGGTAACAAATGGAGAGAAGCTGTGTTCACTTAAAACTGTTGATATATAGCATAAGGTTATTATGGCAAAGTTTCAAATAAGGTGAAGAAGGTTAAAATCGCAGAATCAATTTCATCAGACTTGTTACGTTAGAAAATTGTATTAGTGTATGAACCAAATTACTAATAATGACATTTTAGTGAGTAAATAAAGGCTATCAGGTTAAAGCTATCAGCAAATCTTGTAGACTAGGTCAAAATTTGTTATTGCATTATGTATGACATCAATCAGAGAGTTGCAAAGGTGGGAGACCGGGGAGTTTCAAAGATAAACTGTCCATAAAGAACATCCAGAGTGGATCATTAATGCATGACTAATCAGTCTGGTTTAATGATTATCCTTTGTTTCTGTCCTATACAGATAACTCATGGCATAAAACCCTAGGTATAGGTATTTAGAATAAATAAAACAAACTATTTTACAAAACCGGAAGCGCAGTATTACAAAATGTGACAAATTATGTTATGGGACCTATACTGAAGTTTGACAAGTAGTGCTTGTTTATTTATCTACTTTTCTTAGGGGTGCGGTGGCTCATCGAGTTAGATGCTTGCTCGCTAACCCGAAGATGAGGTCGAAATAATACCTTCTTATTTTTCAACTCGTTTCCCCCTGTTAGTATAGGTATCAGGGCTGACATGGATATGGCTGCTAGTCGTTCGGATGGGACAATAAACCGAGGCCCTGTGTGCTACAGACTGTGTACGTAAGTGATCCCTCGACAGTTGGAAATCTACAGGTTAATGCCGCTGTCCTTGTAAAATTTCCCTCATCGCACCCTGTATGGCGTTGCCCGTCTTCATAAGTCCACATGGTGCAGAAAAGTAGGACGGACGTTAAACTCCATGTATTTCATTTCCGTATCTACATCTCCAAACAAGTTAGCATCGTAACTCTAATGTAATATATATAAAATAAGCATGCCATGTTTCATCAAGATCTGACTTCAGCAGTAGTCGAATTCTCAACAAACTAACGAATATGTAGTACATGCTACAACATTCCACATTTTTATGGCATGTAAAAAGAATTAATTCATCGATAAAACAATTGCACACAACTAAGTCGGTAAAATATATGAGTTAGCACGGAGAATTGTGCCTCTTGCATCGAGAAGATTAGATTTGTATTCTGATTTATTCATGGCCTAACAACTTTAGCTTCACTACAATAATTTTTTGACCATTGTCTTTGGCGAGAAATTATCAACATATAATATGTAGTGTTTATCAATCTATATTGACCCTGTCTAGGAGACTTTTTACCTCATAACCAATTCGATCCCGACATGTTTTCGATGGAGTGGGGTTTTTAAAGCCATTCAAGCAAAAAATCATAATCTGGAATTAACGATCAAGTAATGCTGATTCAAAGCAAATATGTTTTTCTTCTCTTTCCAGCCTACACTAACAGTATTATAAATGATCTTGGTGATGATACAATAGAAAAATTGACACCACATCAAACAATATTTATTAAAGAACGATTGAAAGGATTATATGCCTTCCTCAAAAATCATCCAGCATTAATGGACAGACGATTAAAAGTCGGCTCCAAAAAACCCACCATACCTAACCAAACGCTAAGACCCAATGATCACGAAGTAGGTATCCTTTTTTAAACCACATTTGCCAAAACTAAAAGAATTGCCAAAACTATTTCTGCAAGTCGATTAAGACACTTTACTTTATTATCAGCATGCCCATCGTTTAAGTTTCAGGAAAAAATATCCATAAACGTGTATTTCAAATGATTTAACGTTTCGTTGTTTTGAGTTGTCAAATTCCATGCAAATTGACGAATGTTATCATTGAAATTTCAGAAAAGAACGTTTCAACATTTTACCGCACAGTCAGTATGTCCATCTTCGACCAATTGGAGACTACTGAGATATGCACGTGATATGAATGATACAGAGGTCGAAGTGTTTCAACCTACAGAAGGCAATGAAGGCTTTCAATGGTTTTACACCGTATCCTGTAATGAACAACATAAAGTAATGACAAACCCTGTATGTCCTGGATGTTGTAGAGGTATCAACAGAAGACGGTGAGTCATGAGAATTTTGTTCGTAGTCCTGAACAACGCATAATATTGACATAGTTTTATATACCAATATACAGAATTTTTAGTTGCGCTTTGAGACATCTAGTAATCAAGGTCTCCATTTCTTTGTGATAATAATGTTTCACTTTGGTCGCAGTGCGCTCAAAGAAGAACTTTAGGCCTAATGTACGTCGTCAAAAACTTTTAAACACAAACGACACATATTTACAAGATTAGTCACATCGTCTTGCCTTTATCAATAAAGTCATAAAGAGAAACATATTTGAAGAAGTGCAGTTGTGGGAAACTTTCTGCACGACACCTTAAGGGGGGCGGTGACTCAGTGAGTTAGACGCTTGCTCGCTAACCTGAAGGTCCATCCAGGCATAGGTCGAGATAAAACCTTCGGATTTTTCAACTCGGTTTCGCCTTGTCAGTGATGCAGGTAAGAGGGGCTGACATGGAGAAGCGTCTAGTCGTTCGGATGGGACAATAAACCGGGGCCCCGTTTGCTACAGGCTGTGCACGTTAAAGATCCCTCGAAAGTAGGAAATCGAAAACAGCAGGCTAATGCAAAAGGCTGGCAAAATTTCCCTCATTGCACCCTGCATGGAACTGCCCGTCTTCATTAGCCAACATGGTGCAGAAAAGTAGGACATAAAACTCCATTCATTCCATTTTCACAAATTTCACGACACCTAAAACAATCAACAAAAATGATAGAAAAAACCTTTCTAGAACGTCACATACAGGCTTTTTTAGAGCAAATTGTGTATAAACAATTCCACCAGAAATGAACAAATTGTGTGAAATTTGTTCAGAATATTCAATAATTGCACATAAACATTCGTTGAAATGTTTATTTCTAAAATATAATTGGTAATAATATCCATGATATTAGTTGGCCAAATATTTAGGTGTAATCTCATGTCCCCTTGTTTAGGGCCAGAAATGGTAAATACCCTTTTTTCTTTAAAAAAAAAATACATGTCACACGTGAAAAAGTAGGACGTAAAACTCCATTCATTTCATTTTCACAAAGTTCACGACACCTAAAATAATCAACAAAAATGCTAGAAAAGACCTTTCTAAAACGTCACATACAGGCTTTTTACAGCAAATTGTGTAAAATTTGTTCAGAATATTCAATAATTGCACATAAACATTAGTTGAAATGTTTATTTCTAAAATATAATTGGTAATGATATCCATGATATTTACCTGGTCGGGTAGTTGGCCAAATATTTATGTGTAATCTCATGTCCCTTTTGTTCGAGGCCAGAAATGTTAAATACCCTTTTTTTCTCACATTACATGATTTCTACGTCCAGAATGGACTTTATGAATGGATTTTAAAGCTCTGCCCTAATATCTTAACATATTTCTTGTGAAAAATACTAATTACTTATTCACATATTACACTATTCAAAACATGGCGATTGAGGTTTTTTAGGTTTCCCACCACCACTTCCGAAATTGTGATAGTGAAATAAGGCTTTTGATTGTATATGAGAGAGTTGCATGGATTTGGTCGGTCTTCACAAAGCTTAAATAATTTCTAATTTATGTGTTTCTCTATACGACGAATGCGTTTTACATTGATTTTATATCTTCTAATTTACAGTGACGTTGTTACTAAATTAAGCTGAAAAATGTGGAACAATGGTGAAAACGCCACCATAATACGTTATTCCGTTCATTTTATTAGTGAAGCGGGCTTTAGCAGTGATGTAATGTACCACCCACGATAATGTGATTCATTAAATTAAAGGTTTAATAGTCCGATCTTCGAATGCCCTCAACCTCATAATTTAAATAATCTGAATATAGAAATAAGTTACATTGACAGCTACAACTCTATAGAATTGTAATTTAGATGCTAGTGAATGAGTCAGATGGGTTATGTTGGCCCGTCATGTATAAGCGATGAATGGAGGAAATGCATAATCGAATAACCTCGTATTACTCTTATTTGAGTCATATTCCACAAGGAATTGTCTTACAACCAGACGAAACAGTAATTAAGAGTAGAAATAGATGCAAGGGTCCCGTGTGGCATATAAATAGTCTATCAGTATGCCTTCCTTCGGTCCATTTGCCGAATTAGTATTCGTATATAACAATGGCGCTTGAGTAGGGCTCTGCGATGAAAAGATGATCTATACCATTTTAATGTCGACTTTTCTTATGGAAATGATAAAAAGTCTGATTAATTTCCATCTTTTATTAGGTCAGTGTGACATAAAAGACGCCCATTCAATATAAATTTTATAATATATAAAATATATAACTTTAACTCGCAGTACAGAAAGTAACATGGTAAATTATAATCACTAATATATAGTACACTATTTCTTCAGAGTTCAGAGAAAGCGCGGTAAGGTAGCCGATGCAGTGTGTGATTTGAGATTGTCGAATTCCCGAGCCCGGGCGCTTCTATTTTCTGTAGCTAGATTATTTAAACTTTTAAAAAAACAAAAATACGCCTTGGAGATAGACCTGTTTTTCTTTACATAGCTCAATGGAAATCTAAATATCTCCTTTTATAACGAGTAAACAGAGATAAATGTTTAAAGCTTAGTGTTCCACGAAAGAATGCCAAATTATTACGGAACGGAAAAAATGAAATGAAATGAATGGAGTTTTTAAGTCCTACTTTTCTGCACCATTTTGCCTGATCTTTTTCGCTTTCCAACTGTCGAGGGATCTTTGACGTGCACAACCTTCGGTTTATTGCCCCATCCGAACGAAGGACGCCTTTTCCATGTCAGCCCCTCTTACGGAACGGAGTCATTGCCAAAAGCATTCACAAAGTCAAACTTGGAAACAAAGCGTCATATCAGCATTTTGCACATTTACAAAATATTTATTTCTGAATTCAAAAATTTAACATACTAATTTCCAAGTCGAGAATACCTTCCAAACTTTATTTCACAACTACCTAAAAGTAAACATTCCTCATTTACATAATCCGGAAATTGACAGAAACTAACAAAAATGTAACGAATGCCACTTCGTCTTTACTTCAATTATCTATCAGATTTTGTTACCGATGGAATCACAAAATTTTTGTCATGAATAAAATTGTTGTTAAAGAATACAAAAAAAAACGATAAAATTGTAATTCAAATAAATGGTCTAAAAAGGCATGATTGGATAAAATTCTTACAAATTTATCAGAATCTGGCTATCCCCATAATACCATTATTTTGGTTACGTCGGATTTTCGACTGTAACACTGATAGGAATGAAAATGCCATTATTTTCTTTAAAAAAGGCCTATCTATTTCAATCATTACATTAGTTTCGAAACACCAACCGAAAATATTGTTCTTCAAACTATTTGCTATTGCATGAATACCTACGTCACAAGGGAGTGCAACCATTTGCTTACTGTGTTTAGAAAAAATGTACATGTTCGAGGCAAACGTGAAGAAAACGCGAGAAAAAAACTTACTAACTCGAAAACATTCACCCTCTTACTGCGACCTTTGAAACCATATTACGTTCCCACGGCTCGACCACCACGACTGTTACTTACTCAATGAGTTTCTATTGATATTTATGGGCTCTCATCACGCTTATTGGGTTTTTACCCAAGCCGCCTGAGCTGAAATATGGAATAACAAATTCTTACAGTAGATCTCACAAACAGGAAAGGCACGATTATCATAGAATCTTAGATAGATCTCTCTCAAGAAAATGTTAAGTTCTCCTATATTATGTTTGACACAATTCTTGTTTTTCATTTCAGATACGCGTCACAATGTATGACGAAGAAGGCTTTTGTAATGGCATTAGTTCGGCCGATGAATCAGCACTCGTACGACTGGAATTGGATACAAATTGATTCCAGCTGCAATTGCGCTATTTCGCCTTTGTAATTTTTTCTTCGTTGTATTCCTTCTTTTTTCTTTGTTATTTATTAAAGTTGATGTTGAATGTTCAAGTGGTTTTTAAAGGACCATATAGTTGAAGAGCTCATGACAGAATTCGAACACATTGAATTCATTATCATTTAGATGTATTTGGACAATCCAAATATTTGTGCATGTTCGGGGCGGGGGAAAAAATCCCAACAAAAACAATTTGAAGTTATGGAATTGAAACTTTCCATATGCTGATTATCACAACGTTAAAAATTGGATTACTCGTGTTATATTTTTGATCGAAACCGGGTGTGAACAAATATCTTGACGTTATATTATACACAAAAATACGTAATAAGCAATGAGTTGCGTGCCTCGGGAACAAAGTGGACGAATACACAAAAATTTATTTACGACTTTGCCACTCTGCGTTCAGTTAAAAAATATTAGAAACGTTCTATTGCAATATTTTTTTTTCTACAGCCATGCGAATACAAAAGTATTTTTTTGAAACTCATAATGTTGAGGTGGACATCTGATCACAGGGCAAGTTAGAGAAATGAGGCAGAACTGTATTCTCAAAACAGCCGTACTTAAACAGGCAACTAAACGCATGCTTTTGCAACAGTTTTCATAAATCTCCCTTGTCTGCTCTCCATAGCCTAATAAGCTTATATGACTTGTTGAAGAGAAAAAATGACACGCTTTGCAGGTTCGCAAATAAGGCTTCATGTCGCTAAATATATCGTTTATTTGATGTCTGAAGTAAGTTATGCTTTTCACAGACTTCAGAATTTTTGCATCATAGAAAGAAGACATTAGCTATGGTCCTGTTTTGAAACGTTTTGTAAGGGAACGCTGGGAACAGGTATACAGGGAGATAACTGTGATTTTAAATTCCCTGTACACTATTTCTATTTCTTACTCAATATTATGTTAAATAATCATCCGTCGACATATTTGTAGGATCTATATTTGGTACATAATGATAGGTAGACTACATGCATCCATTAGTGGTACTTTCCTGACAGGATCCAGAGAGCTTATATTCGGTGGCAGTTCAAAAGGTCCATATTTTCTTGACACCACCGAGTGTTGCTTAATGTTACTAGATATGGCAAAGATTCTTATTGAAATTATATAATTTGATTCGCAGACTGTCGTGATAAATTGTGATTTTGGCTATATCGGAAATCAAAATACAATTGTGACGTCATCCTTGTATCCTTTGGTCAGAATACCATGGGAATCAGTTTATACGACACGTTGTTAACAATCAAAGAAAACAAACATTTCACGGGAATAGAATTCAGTTCTTTCAATCTCACCTTTTTGATGCGTCTAGTATTTTATTATGAAATATCTGTACTTTACACCCAATACTACCATAAAATTTCAAACTTGACAGAGCGTATTTTTTATTTTAATTTCTAAAAATTTCAGCAATAGCTTTATTATCACTTTCAGAATCAAATAATCCACACACATAATGATAAAATAAACAGCAAATTTCTAAAGTGAATTTTCCAATAAAATATTAATATCTTGGATTTTTAATTCCTTTTACTGGTATTCTTTTTCGGCAACAGATTGTAAAGGCTTCGTCAGCATTTTCGTGAAATCACCCAAAAATTTATTCCTATAAAGTTAATCAAATTCAATTAACCCGGTGCAAACACAACATTTCCCTTCCACAATAAAGCTGCGATTACATGTGTACGGGAGGGTTTGATTCTCCCTAATGTACAGGCCTAGGATGGAACAAATACTTAATTAAGAAAACGGAACTAACGGTCAGGAAATGCTGCGGATTTTTTTCTGTATCTCTTAAATTAAATAAAATAATGACCCGCCAAATGGGCTTTAGAACAAGGTTGTCATTTATGTGTTTTTTTGTATAATGCAACAATCATGTTTTGTTTATAGACATGGGGGAATTTTTCTTGTAGGCTCTCATAATTTCATGTAAGAAATGCTCCAAACAATATATAGGAGAGGCTGAAAATAACTTAAGCACTAAGTTTGCGGCCCAAACATAGATCAGATCTCAAATTAAACTAAGATCGGGATTTCACATGTTAGCTTCTCTTGAATAGGATACCTTTTCTGAGTGGAAATACTGATGAAAAAGTGAGTTTCTGATATAAAATGACACGTTTTGCACGTTTGACTGAATAGGGGCATTCCATAAGACTGGAGGTATTTCGACATAAAGTCTGCTTCAAGTGCTATCGTCCAACACTGTGAAGGTCCCTTAATTTGGATCGGCTTCTCTTTTTCAACATGTTTAAAGAGTAGCGGTGGCCATCGTGATACGCCCATAATGGTAACAGTAGCCAAGTTGTCCGGAAGCTTGACTTGAGCTACCAAAAAAAGAAACAATATTACCTAGCATAAATTTGACTAAATTACAAAGGTTATGTATAGATCATTAGATTATTACTTACAATTTGTGTCTATAATTAACCAACTTATATCTACTGTATACCATATTGTAGTCTGCTATTTGTATCCAATAGCGTGTCAGATTTTAATTAATACAATTTCACCAGCTTCTTTAAAAATGTAGGGAAATGTGCCGTCTAGATTGTTAAAAATTGGAAGCGTTTTTAAAAACAAGGGCAATAACTCATATCAAATACTTTTCGACTTGTCTCATTTTCAATAGGGTTCATCCTTACTTGATAACAAACATGCACACAAAATTTTATTAAAATCCATCAAGAAACCAGCTATAATAAAATAACAGCATTCAATCATTTTGTCCTGACTGACCTATGTCCTAAAGGTCAAGAAATCTATGTAGGTCAAAAACGCAATTAAGTTTTCTTTCGATAATATTTCATTGTCACCTAAAATATCCAAATTTTAATATGATTTTTTCAATGGCAGCCTTATATACGTCAGATCTAAATTACCAATTCTTTAGTACTTAGATGTACAGTTAGTTTTCACTGATAGTCTTAATATTGGATACTCTAAGACTCACTATTGGGCACTACCTTTCCCTACTTGTATAGGCTCATGCTAATTATACTTATATTGTAATGAACAACACAACTTGAAGTCATAAAGTATAACTTTTAAAGGAGGACTTCTCAAGAGTTTTCAAGAACAAGGGCAATAACTCATGTAAATGTTTTCGATTTGTCTGAATTTCAAGAAGGTTCATCCATACATGATAACAAACACTCCCACCAAATTTTGTCAAATAAACCAGCTCACTATTGTGTCCACAAACAATGTTGACAGACAGGGGCGACGACTATACTCACCCATTAATGTGAGGACGTATAAAAACAGTGGCCAATCACTTTTTCAACAACCAACCCTCAGAGGACTGAAACGATCTTACCAGATCTTTCCCCGAAAGTTAAGGTAGTACTCGACAGTGGTCACAGGTACCAGACGAATTTCGCGAGAAAAAAAAGCACCCCAAAAATGATCGAATACCATCGAGACCAAAACTTCCTGGAGAAATAAGCAAAGTTACCAAGTCCATTTCGCATCGTCATGATCAATTGGTCTGGAATATTGTCAAGTATCATTTCATAAGGCAATTTCCCTTAATGTGTATGGATTTTTTTATCAAAATTAATAACGATGTGAATATTTTCAAATAGTTTATTTACTTAGTTTCAAAAAGTT